CAACGGGGGTTCTAGCGACAAAGCAACTATATATATATAATCAGCCTGGGTTATATATATGTTGAAAAAAAAAATAATAACTATTTTGTAGTTATGGTAATTTAGGGTTTACCCGCGTGTGGCCTTTGTGTTGCTCGGGGGGTTTTGCATGCATGCAAGGTAATATGTCGTCGGGCCTTTGCTTATTTAGTCTGTGTGCGTATGATAATTAATTACGTAATGTTAAGTTGAACATTGCAGTGTTTGAATATATGTATATGGTGGTGAATTTTAAATTGCGGGCTTTCCATTGTTTAATTAAGGTGCATCATCTTGAACGGTTACATATAAGCATATGTAGAATAGATGTTTACATTATATGTAACTGCGACTGAGAGTCTGTAATTGTGCATTAGTTTGATGTGAAATGGTTGTTGGAAAATGAGTACAATATATATTGAAGAATCATGTAAACTATTGTGGGTTGCTTTTATGTATTGAATGGTGTGTTATTATTACTTTTGCAGCACAGTTTCTGGGGATGGCCGTAACGGGATTTGTGGATTCCTGTATCTACATGGCCGTAACGGGATTTGTGGTGCTGTTGAAATCTGATTATTTCAATATGCACTGTTTTTGAAACTTATTATTATGAATCTATCTATTTATCTATCTAGTCTTTAGTTCATGTGTCTGATATTAATCAAAACCAAAATTCGAATCCTGAACGTCTTGCAACAAAATAGGGGCAACGAGGCACTAGTTGCTTGATTTACATCATCTTATGTGAAAAAAATTGAGTTCATGTATATATTTATGAATATCGTTTTATCCAAATAATAATAATAATAATAATAATAATAATAATAATAGCAATTGTGGTCCATCCATGCTGATCATCTGTACTTTTTGTTTATCTAAAATTGTGGTCCATCCATGCTGATTATCAATCTCTAAATCATTTTTCACAAGAGTGAATAACCACTCTCAGTTTTTAAATTTTTCAACACTCACGCCTGCATAGGCAAAGGGAAAAGTGCATTGTTGGAATCAAACCACCACTCTCAGTTTTTAAAATTTTCAACACTCACGCCTGCATAGGCAAAGGGAAAAGTGCATTGTTGGAATCAACCCCAATAACAGTCAGTAAAACCTCTTTGTTTGGACCTTCTAGATGACTACCATCCACACCAAACATAGGTCAATAACCTGACATAAATTCGAACTTTAATGCATTCAATCAAATACAAAATTTGTTAAAAAAAAATTCTATTTTCTGAAACAGTATCCAAAACAACTGTACGACCTTAATTTGTTCTTTTAATCTCCTCACACTAATCCCACAACAATGCATATATTCTACTCCTTAGGTTCACCA